AAGCGAGCAACGAGAGCCAAATTATTCCAGCTGCATTCAGCCGTATTGCTACAGCAGAGTTTGGAGCAGTTAGAAGGTTTTGTAGTCTGTTGTAGGGCGCCATTTGTAAAAGCGTAAAGCGTGTTGTTTACTTACAGCAAGTCTTTAAATATGGGTAGTCACGTGAGAAAATACAGGGGTTATTTATAACACTAAGAAATGCGATATAATCCCTGTTTAATATTTCAACGTCACCGCCAATTACTTGAGCTGTTTAAAACTGGAATCATCTTGTAGATACGTCTGTCAATAATTTGTCGAATGTCCTTTTTTAGTATATGCTATTTGTGTCAAATATGGTGTATGTGTACCATCAAATCGGAACCTACCATGAGGTATACGTAAAATTTTGCAGCATTTAACCTCATACGACAGCACATAGTAGCGCAAAGTCGAATGACTTTCAAAATTGAGGTGCCACGCTATAATCGACTAGGTAAATTTCATCATTGAGAAGGTGTGTTTGTGAATGAGTTGGATGTTAAGTGTTCAACCCGGAAAAAATTTTCTTATCACCAAGCCCAAAATCAATTGTATTAATAATTATCCTGATTACTATCAGTAGCAAGCAAATCTATTGTCTACAGACATTAAAGCAAACTCATTCGTTAGGGGCGCTGACAATAAATAAGGAATTTTTTATCAATTTTAATTGTTCTTTTCCTAAATAGTGTATGCTTAGACTTAAGTATCAACGCCAGTTGTTATCTTTTGCTTAAGAAATAGTTGTTTTAAGCCATCTTACAAAGTTCTAGCTGTGGACAAGCGTAATGCAGTTTTTTCGTACGTGGAAAAGGTAAGAGCCGGGTGAGAACATAAAGACCTCTTACGCCCCGAGGGGTGCGTAGTTTATGACATTATGGAAATTTTGCCCAGCCATAACTATCTGTTTTAAACGATATATTTTTTTTAGGTACGTCGATTGGTAGTTCGTGTCAAAACTGGTACAATAATTTTTCGGGACAATTCTTACCTCCGTTCGCGTCTTTGGTGCAATGGACATTTCTTCAAAATAAATTTTCGAATCTATGTAGGATATTGTAGTATCTTCGATTCCAGAATCGTTGCTAGCTCCAACTAGTTCTTCACATCCGGTTTCAATGCACGTACTTGCGTTTGAGCATGCAAGTATCGAACGCATCCTTGAATAATTGGGGTGGACAGTTGTATCAAAAGGACTGATGAATAATTCCAATAAGAGCGCAGCTTCAATGTAATGCTAAAGGCTACTACGTAGAAGTACAAAAGATGAGTTGGAAACTCTGAATAGATTGCTTTGGACGTAAGGACACCTGCTTACTTTATAGACTAGCGGTAACTCTTGCGTCCAGTTGTTTGTCTTGGTCATGTCTTTTGCTAATTCTCTTCTTCTTTTTAAAGCCCAAGGATTTTCTTTATAGAGACAGAACACACGCTATCTGAAGCTCGTTTTAAAAGTGTGTACGTTAGTTCTGGTCACATGTGTAGTATGCTCAGCAGTTCGGTTGCGTTGCCTTTCATGCGCCTTCGATCGATCCTTTGAATTATGGGTGCCATCATTGTTGACTTCGCCTGCTCTTTTTTACGAACTAAATCGAGCTAGTCACGCTCAGGCGGTTGGAAATGGGGCAAATCAAACGTTATTTCGCACGGAGAGCAGTTCTTGGCACATATAGTTGGCACACTTGTGTATGATAAGTTTTATTTCCGTTGCTAAATCGTCAGCGATAGGGATATGAGTGGATTGATGATTCATCACTTGTGTAATACCATCGATAGCATAGAATGAACCAAGTTTTCAGTTCTTACGGGAGTGGACATTATCCAATGTCCAATCATGGTGGAGTTGAGTGACCGACATGGAGTTTGGGTATAAAAACAACGTCCAACCTAGTGAACTACACATTTTATTCAGGAATGATTAGGATCAAACTCATTACCAGTTTCATAAACTATAGATCATGGTCCCAATATTAAATAATGTGCTCTATATATTCAAATGATCTACCCGGCAAAGGCAGCTAACAGTAAACGGGTACCATTTTATTTCGGCACTCTGTTAAGGACATAGTATAATTATAATTGGAAGAGGAGTAAACCTTTGAATAAAACTTGTATAAACTGTAAATAACCCGTGAATTACAAGCTTATTCAAAAAAGAGGTTGAGTCTCTAAATTGTAAGAAATTGGCGGTGTTAACATTGTAAATTGACTCTATTTGTATCAACATGTCACCATACCTGCAGCTGAATCCAAATCATAGCCATTTCTTGGTTTAGGTAATTCTCCAGTAGGTAAGAGCTTACTAGAATATTTACTCTCCTTCTCGAGACGTGATAAGGGTTTTACATTATTATGATAAACGGCATTCCATATGTCAGACTTGTCCTTCTCCGCCTTTCTAACAAACTTGTAAATATCATAACAAAGTCTCTTTGCATCTGGACGCTTATCAGGATCAGCATCACAACACCGCTCGGCAAGTTTCTTGTATTTCTCTGGTGCGGAATCAG